TTCTTTTGACAAAAGGATGAAGTCTCTATCTGTCAGGGAAGCCGAGATATTGCAAAATAAAAAAGGTCTTCAACTTTTGAACAGCACTTTTTATATAAAAATTAACCCGGTCCTGAAAGGGTTAAATCAACTGTTAGAGAAAAATGACTTGCATTACAAGATGCGCCTCGTTGACTAGTCAGAAATGCAGGACAAGCTATCCATCCAGATGATATCAGTTCACTTCTATCATCTCAAGCATCACAAGGTAGAATCGAAAGACATAAAAGAGCGGATCATTCATTACCAACACCACAACAGCTGAGTGATATTCATTTTCCGCAAAAACTTATTCTTACAACAACAAATGAACGCTTTTCATTATGTGATATTAATCTTCATCAAGATCGAATTATTATATTTGCATCGCATAAATACCTTAAACGTTTATCGAAAGAAAGAAAAGATGGCATTGTGATGGCATATTAAAGATTGCATCTCAATTATTTCATCAGGTGTACACAATTCAGAAAATGATTGAAGATAAAAGTGTACCAGTAGTTTATGCATTCTTAACTAGAAAATCCGAACGATTATATAAAGAAAAGTTTAACGAAATTATTAATAATATTGCCGAAGAACCAAAATTTGTTACTATTGATTTTGAAATTGCAGTAGCCAATGCTCCTAAAGCAGCATTTCGAAATGTCACTGTTTTCTGGTGTTTTTTTCATTATAAACAAGCAGCATGGCATAAAATTATGAAACTTCGATTAAACGACAAATTTATAGAAGACCGTGATTATAAGACATCGTATTAAAGATATTATTTCATTAACATTTTATATAACTATACTGGATCAATTTCGCCCAACAATCGTCGTAAAGCACCACGTTTTCGATTATCTGTGTGAAATTGTTTTGAACGGCGCGAACATGATTTGCCAAGAATGAATAATCCAGTAGAAGGCTGGAACAATGCCGTAAATCAACTTGTTGATCTGCTCATCCTGTTATTTATAAAAACCAAGGTATCAGAAAAGAACAACATTTAACTCAAATTCTTAATGAAAAAGTTGAAAGTGTAACAATAAAGCCATCGCAACGAGCAAAATATGAAAAAATTGATCAGAAACTTCAATATCTAGTTAACTAATATTAGATGGCAATCACGCCAGCGGCAGTTGCGAATACGATGCGAAGCAGGAACAACGGAATGGAGGATACGGCAACAGAGAATTCAGTTTTTTTGTTAAATTAATACAGTATTATTCGCAGAAAAGCACTGAATAAAGTGTAGATTAGTCACGTGTAAGAGTTATTGTCTTAGTTTTGAGAGTTTGAGTTACTTATCAGAGAAAGCTAGGTTGTTCTAGCCAAACTTTCACAGTGGCTTTCTGTGTATACTTCCAACTTAATGAGATATGTGACTTGGGCGAAATAACTCGAACTCGGTGAGTTATCTCTAAGAATAGCTCTAACTCGGCGAACTATTCCTGGTAGAAAGCGAGAAGAAAGAGTATTTGTGTAAATTTTACGGAATTTCGGAAAAAGTAGAGACTTTGAATTCTTTATCTTGACTTGAATACAACCTCGGAGTGGACTGAAAATCGAAATTGATTAATGTTTAAAGAGACGTTCCCCTTGATAAACAAACGTTTCCCTTGATATCTAACCTACAGATTTTATCGCACACATTGCATTATTATCTAACACAGTAAGGCATCTAGTGGCTAGTCATTGCGTTAATTCTTCGTTGAATACATATAGAGCATGGTCGTAAAGTGAATCACACGATATACGAATACTCTGCTTTAAAAGCGCTAGAATCACTCAAATTAATTATCTGTTTTTTTTTGAAACTATAAGTCTCAAAAGTTCAAAACACTTTCTTTCGAGCCTTCTGATTAATGACTGGATTAGCCACAAAGTCTCAAAAGAGGACATTTACTAACTCGGTCTTAAAGCTCCCGTTTAAAACTTTAAGATAGCCCTTCTACTTTACGAGAAAAGCTATTGCGGTCATACTCTGCTTTTTTTTTGCTAGTCCGGTGTGCTGGTGCATTTCTTTGTGACAGTTATCATTTTTTCCATCCATTGTTCAATCACATGAGCTGAAATGCCGTGGGGCCTAATTGACTGGTGCTCAATGTTGGCTGTTGACTGTACTCAAATGTTGGTGTACTCAATGTGGCATTATTTTTGAAACAATCATAATGTGATTTTTGCGTTTGATAGTAAAAGTAATATATCCCCAGCAGTACTGTTCTTTAGGATTGGTAATCTAGTTATCGTAGTATTAAAAATTAGTGTAAAAAATCCTTACTGTTTACAGAAAGCTTTTTTTTCAGTAGTTAATACAGACCCGGAAAATCTGATTGAAATCAGCTCTGAAATGGACGCATTTAGAAAATGCCGTGCTGATTGCGTGACCAGATGCAGAGCTTATTGGTAGGTATGCACCAATTATTACTGACTGTTTTTAGGACATTCAAGACAATTACATCGCGTAGTAACAGAGAGATCACTGAGAGCTGTGGAATGCCACAAGTTGTAAAGAAATGTCTGCTTTATGTATTTACTGCAATAAAAACGTTTAGAACTAATGTCTGTTAATTAAATGCCTGTTATTTGACCGTTTTTTGACATTTAAAAAAATGCAAAATAAATGTATTTAAACGTTCCCAGTTATAATGGCAAAAAACGGGGTCAAATGTCCTAAAAATGCCATTTAAACGCTTATTAACAGCATATTAAATGGCATTTAATTGGCAATTAATTAAAGTCGTGGACACATTAGAAGAGGGGGCGGGCGGGGGGGGGGGGCGGGGGGCGCGGCGGCGCGGGGGGGGCCGCGG